GCAGCTCCTTGTCCACACTGCTCTTTGCATTGCACCACAGCACATCCACTGGGTGAGAGGGCCGGGAAGGAAATATAAGTCCCCTGCATCTGAAACCCAGCTAAATTAAACAGGCATGGTTTACCCGGGATGGAGGGAGGGGGACGCGGGGGGCGGGAAGCATTGATATTAGGACTGTGACAGAGTGCATTATTGGTTCAAATTCTCCTCCCCTCTCTGGCTTCACACTCTTTGCCATAGGGTTTTACAGTTCCTCACACTAAAGGAGCAGGATATATTTTCCCACTCCTCAACTCTGTGACATACTGTGACAATGGCATGGGTGAAAGAGACCATGTGCTGCTTCGAAGACTAGACTGCGTGAGTCTAGCCCGCAGCCACTTGCCCCCTGGCCCCTGAGGAGAGCACGCCTGGCAGCGCCTGGTCCCGGGAGATGCGTGGAGCAGAGCCACCACCAGGCGGGAGCAGAGCCCCAGCCAACCTCCAGCAGAGACTCCCCAACAGCCGCTGGTGGCTTCCTCTCCGTAAGGATCAGTACAGGAGTCCTAATGGAATGCTATCAGGGAATTCCCACACTGGGAAAGAAGTCGGACCGAACCAGTGGTTCCAGACTCTGGAATTTTCAGTCTGAATGAAGTTACTTTAAAGAGCTGGGAATCCAACATGAAGCTGCTACCTTTTTGCTTCTGAGCAAAGGTAACATATAAAAATAACTACTGCTTACTAGTGTCATCAAGCCATAAAATATAGAACATGTTGACACTAAACTGAGGAAGGAATATCATCGTAGAGTATGACTTAGTCCTTGCCAAGCAGAGAGAGTTGGCCACCCTCCATATGTGAGCCTTTCTCTTTCGTCCTGTCACAGAGCAATGAAAACTAAATAGCTCCAGTCCACATATTAGCAACTTGCCTGAACGCTTTATGGTGGAGCTGCCAAAAGAACATGAAATCACTTACATAAATTGCGAAGCTGAAATCATGGTCTGTTTGGTCTGGGACAATATAAAACTTGTTGGGGCTTTTTTGGAGCTGTATTTTTTTTTTTAAATCAGGATAGGAAATAAAGCTACAGCCCTGGCCGGTGGCTCAGTTGGTTAGAGCATCATTCCATACACTGGAAGGTTGTGGGTTTGATCCCCAGTCAGGTTGCATATGGGAGGCAGCAATCAATGTTTCTCTCTCACATTGATGTTTCTCTCTCTAAAAATCAATAAAAGCATGTCCGCAGGTGAGGATAAAAAGAAAAAGCTAAAGATAAATGTGAGCACCTCTGTCTTCCCTTCTCCATTGTCTGCCTCAAGCCTCAGAGCAACCTGTGTCCTGCCAGCCCCCACCCCACAGAACTTTTAGTTGCGCTACACTGGTGCCTAAGATGCTAGTGCTGTGCTTTCAAGAGTATAAGAATGCGTGGTTCAAGCAGGAGCTCTGAGGGCTACAGGGACACGTCATGGGACAGAGGTGAGAGGCAGTGAATCCGGGACCAGCTCCAGGGAAGTGTGGCTAAGTCACTTAGGAAAGTGGACCGTCTTCTTTCTGAGCATAAAGAGCCACTCCATCTCCTGGGATGTGTGGAGGCCAGGGAGTAAGAAGGGGTCTAAAAGCGGGTGGTGGATGTAATAGACTCTACTCCCACACCACAGGTGCCAGGCTGGCTCTGGCCAAAGGAACCTGGGAGCAATGGCACATGTCAGTTCCAGGCAGAAGCCTTGGGAGCCGCCATGAGGTTTGCCTCTCTTTTCCCTTTGCCACGAGACCACTAGACTTTCCAATAGACCATTCGAGTTTCCAATAGACCATTCGAGTTTCCAATAGACCATTTGAGTTTCCAACGGACCATTAGCATTTCCAACAGAGGCAGTTCCTTCAGTCTGAGGCCCATATCAAACTCCACAAGCGAATGGGTGTGTGACATGGGTAAGAAACCTGTGGGTTGGTGGAAGCCGCTGAGACTTTGGGATTCTTTGTTACTGTGGCAGAACCATGCAGAACCTGACTGACACATGGGGACACCATGAATTGAGTTGGAGAGCTCAACAATAGTGAAACAGAGAAAGATAGTGAGTTTGTCTTGCCCTTGTTTAGGGGCAGATGAAAAGCAGAGGTGAAATCTTCCATCGCCACTTATTAGGCCCCAATAAATTTAATTTTATAAATAAATAAATAAATAAATAAATAAATAAATAAATAAATAAATTTTAAAAAGAAAAGCAGAGGTGAGGGTTGAATACAGAGATGCTAACGCATGGGTAGGGCTCCGGCCCCAGTGAGCACATGGCACCTAGGAAGGCTAGCCTAACCTCTTACATGTGGCTCTGGGTTTTCTGATTGCTCTTGGCTCAACCTCACTCACCAGGCCCTGAGGGGACTCACACACCCACCAGGGTCCAGTGCAGAGAAGCAAGGGCTGTTCTTTGGAATCTGAAAGACAGGAGTCTCATCCCAACTCTGGCCCTTCATTTCTGCCTTCACCCATCCTCATGGACACTTCCTATGGCAGGCTTTAGGGAAGATGGACAATGGCCTGAGTTTCACAGGCTTACAATTAGTAGGAGAACTGACATCAAGCAAATAAGGAGATAAATACCAGTGGGTGAATAATATTAAATAAATACAATGAATTGAGAGAAATTGGTGAAGGCTGCTTTGTGTAAGGGGTTCAGGAAAGGCCTCTCTGAAGAGGGGATATTTCAGATGAAAAACGGGAATGTGTTAGGCATGCAAAAAGGTAGGGAAACAGCAAGTGCAAAGGATTTGAGGTGGGAAAGAAAATGGCTTGTTTGAGGAACAGGAAAAAGCCAGAGCTTCAAAAGCAAGGAACGAATTATGGCATGAGGCCAGCAGCAGACCAGTCATCAGGACCTCGTGGGCCCCAGCATCCAGTTGGAAGTTCATTGCAGGTGTGGAGGGAAGCGGGGGGTGGGGGGGGTGGTAATGAGCAGGGAGTGCCAGGACCTGGTTTCTGGTTAAAAGAGTCTCAGGATGCTGTGCAGAGAGTGACTTGTACAGGGGCCAGAATGAAAGAGACAGACCAGTGAGGACACTCTGCTCTGTGACCTTCATGTCCTTGGGCAATCCCTTAACAGTCCTACATCTCAGTCATCCCATCTGCAGAGTGGGTCTACTGTCTGCTCTTCATAGTTCACAAACTCTTCGGGCTCCTGGAGGTGGGAATGAAGGCGCACATGGCCTTGCTCGCCCCTGCATGGTTCCTTCTAATCACTCCAGCTGCCTTTCCTGGAGCTAGAGCAGTAATGGCAAACCTTTTGAGCTCGGCGTGTCAGCATTTTGAAAAACCCTAACTTAACTCTGGTGCCGTGTCACATATAGAAATTTTTTGATATTTGCAACCATAGTAAAACAAAGACTTATATTATTGATATTTATTTTATATATTTAAATGCCATTTAACAAAGAAAAATCAACCAAAAAAATGAGTTCACGTGTCACCTCTGACACGCGTGTTATAGGTCCGCCATCGCTGAGCTAGAGCCACATCCCGAACTTGCCTGTGTGGGCCTCCCAGAATCTCAAAACCCCAGAGTCTCCAGTGCCTACCGTGACAATGGGTTCATCTCTCCATCTGGATGGGATTGAGGACACGTGGAAGCTGGCCAGGAATCAAGACAAATGCAGGGGAAATACAGGGCAATGTGGAGGCCAGTCAAGCTTCCAGGAGGCCGGCAGAAGGGAAATAGAGGCAGATAAAGGTCAGACGGGTGCTAATTATGGCAAGAGAGATCAATCCTGACCAGCAGAGTCCTCAGGCAAACCTGGGCTCAACACTGATGAGGGAAGGAGACTCAGGGAGCAAGGCCAAGATGCAACTTATCCAGAGAACCTGACAGTCTGGCCAGGCTCCTGGACAGTGAGAGACCACACGGAGCAGAGAAGAGCTGTGTCAGCGGAGCCTACCCTGGATAAGCCAGCCCCGGTTGACCTGACAGCTGTCTGGTGACACATGAGCAAGCTCAGCTCAGCTCATCTGAGGCTGGCCCATCCCGGAAGAGCTGCCTAGTTGACTCAGAAACTCATAAATAATGAACGCTTATTTATTTTAAGCCACTGAGTTTGGAGGTAATTTGTTACACAGCAATCACTGACTGATGCAGAGGGGATGATGGCCAGCGGCCCTTCCTATTTCCCTGTAGCAGGCCTCCGCTAGCATCACAATCCTGTTTCCCTGTTCGAATCCTGTTCAGCTCACTGGACTGGGTCATGAGCCATGAACTTGACTTTACAAGTTTCTTTGTGACCTTAGAAAAACGTCTTCCCCTCTCCGGGCCTGTCTTCTTATCTGTATGAAGCAACAAAACACTTCCAGGAGCCTCCCAGCTCTCAGGTTCTATGTTTGGATAACTCCGACCTCCTCGTGCGGCCATTCTGTCATTTACTCAGCAAGCATTCGCTCGGAGCCTGCTGTGCACCAGGCCTCAGCCAGGTCTAGGGATGCAGGCTCAGACAACAAGACTCGAACCCAGCCCACTGGGAGCTCGTGGTCCCCTGAGAGCTCACTGTCTTGTGAGTGTAGAGAGGGTGCCTCTGAGGAGCCTGGGTGGCCAAGGAGGCTGTGAGGTGAGAGCAGTGGGCAAGAGTTGTGTTGATCCTTCCCAGCAGAAAGAGGGCTGCACATTCAGTGCCCAGGTGCCTCGGCCTCCGGGCTCCTGCTCAGAGATCGGCCTTGGAGCCCTAAGGCCTGGAGAAAGGTCACTGTATTTCAGCAAATGCCCCGGGGAAATCAGAACATGTGCCTTGAGCTGAGCGCACTCCATGTGCAGGTAAATGACAGAAAGGGGACCTCAGTCCACTCTCTCACCCAAGGGGGCCAGGAGAGCTGACCCTTGCCCCTGGGAGACGGGCCCATCTTTGTGGGAGAGTGAAACGAGCAGTTGCGAGTCCTTTACTCCCCTGATTGCAACAGCCCTTCCCGACCTCCTTCCCAGTCCCAGAGAGAGGTGGGCCTGTGGGAGGTGTCTGCGGGGGGCTCAGCGCTGTCCTACCATGGAACCAGGGGGCGATAGCTTTGGTGTTCCTCTCGAAGCCAGCTTGGCGAGGCAGCTGCTCCTCCTTGAACCAGCGGACTATGATTTCTCTGGAGACAGGACGCAGAGGGCGCTCCCAAGTCCTGCAGAGAAGAGAGAGGGAGTGTGGGAGAGTCAGGAGGGAGGGGACGGAGGGAGGGAGGCCACTGTGCGGATGAATAAGCACGGTGCCCACACTCACACCTGCGGAGAGGATGCAATGAGCCAGGTACTTGAAGACACTTTGCAGATTCTAATGTACCAGCTGTGATTCTTGTTCCCCAAAGAACACTGTGATCACTTGCTTTGAAAAGAGCCACACAGGTGGGAGTGGGAAAGAGGACGGGCGAGGGTGTCTGGGGGAAGAAAAGGCACATTTTCCCTCAAGGATGGCCAGGTGTGAGCGTGAGTGTCCAAGAAGAAGGACCCTAATGTAACAGGAGCAAAATGATAAACATGTGAGTGTCCTCTGTCCCCCACCCACACCCCACTAAAGAGAATTCCCATCTGTCCCTCAGCGTGGCCCCTCCCCAGCCTTCTCAGGGGACACCTGCCTTCGCCAGCTGCTCCCTGCTTCCATGTGGCAGAATCAGGACAGTGAACAGAGAGAAACCGAGAACCCCAATTGGCTGTGGCTCTGGCTGTGGCTGAGATTCACCACCAAGAAACAAAAAGGATAGGACAGAGGAAAGTTGGGGGGACAGAGGACGGGGGACAGAGCACTGTGCTGGCTGACCTGATAGATTTGAAGGGGGTCTGGGGAGGGACTGAAGATAGTGAGCGTGAGATGAAGAGAGGCACTTGAAAAATTTATGAGTCACGAGTTACATATTTTTTATATTTTCTCACAATCAAGCCAAAATTTTAATGTGTTTGTGTCTGAACTGTGGTTCTTGAATGCATATGGAGGCTGGGCCGCCGAAACAGCCCTGTTACATTGGAGCTACACCGACTGGAAGCACAGTTAGAGTTGGACGACACAGGGCACGTAACAGGCACACGCCAGCTACCTGCTGAATGACTAGGTAGCAAGGCCACGTGCACTGGTCTGTGTGATGATATCTACGTGAGAGCACAGCATCTGATGAGCAGCCTCTGGCCCGGCTTGAGCAACCTGGGAAATTCTTACTCTGTCACTGCCACCCACCGATAGTGCTGGCATTTAGACTTCACCACTGTCGTCATCGTTTCTTATAAAACAAGCTGTCTCCTCATGTGTCCTGCATTTGCTCTGCGCTAACACTTAGATGCTGCGTTCAGCACTTCCTTGCAAACCCCAGGATGAGGTCATATGTTCACTTGCCCTCAAATGAATCCACTTACACACATACACAGCAGCGAACAGTGTGACGTGAGGAAAGGGTCACAAGGAAGCCAGCTGGTGAGGTTCCATCGCACGGCTTACCGCCACCAGCCGTGGAGTTTGTTCCCAAAACACCCTCCTTCCCCCGCTGCCTCCCTGGGCAATTCTGCACCCCCACTACCAGCTCTCTCCTGCTGACCCACACTTTGGGGTCCCCCCCCCAGTAACCCAGAGGCCCTGCCTCTTTATTACAAGCACACGGCAGCCCTGCCCCAGCCTCTTCCTTCACACTCGTGTTCCGCAATAAATAACTGCTCCAGGGAAAAACGTGTCTGGTTCCTAGGACTCATGTTCCTTAGAAGGCAAAAGGAGGCTATAAATAACAGCAAGAAAGATGAGTTCCCTCCTGTCCCTCTGTTCTGAGCAGACTCGCCAGGTCAGGGATGCTGGGATGGTGCTGTGGGAAGTCACCTGGCCAGAAGCCTGACTCCTGCACCAGCAACAGCGTGTCTGCCCTCGGCACAGCCAGACCCGGGTGTGCCCAAGCATCAGCGCTGAGCACAGTGCAGTCAGGGCACTGGGCCCCTGGGGCAGCCACGGCAGGAGGCTGATGCAGGGCCTCTCGGGGCACTGGGTCTGCCGCCCCATCTGCATGGCCCCTGGCCCCCCTTGATGGCAGCCGATGCTCCCCTACTGAGAGCAATGGCAGCCAGCCTGGAGCCGGCTGCACCACGGCCCATGCAGCTCCATCACGTGGGCCTGCAGGACAAATCATCCGTTTCCTTTAAAATGACACATTATCCTTTTCCTGGGAAAATGCCAAGAAGGCTTTTGTAGCTATGTCTCCAAAGCCAGGAAACTTGAAAGACAGCCTGACCTGGTAAAAGTCAAGAATTCCTGCATGACAGAAAACTTCATCAGAAAAATCAACAATGCCCGCATGACAGAAAACTTCATAGCAAAAGGCAAAGGACAAATGGCAAAGAGGAAAAAAGTGTTTATCACAAACAAAAGGATCCTCTTCCCTAACACTTAAAGAGTTCTTAGAAATGGGGGATGAGGAAAAAATACCAACACAAGAAAACCCAGGTGGAGGAAAGATGAGTCAGATATGGAAACACCAGTGGTCCTTAAACAGAGACAAAATACTTGACCTCATCATGAAGAGAAATCAATTCCCAGCTTTCAGTGAGCATCATTTCCCACACAGAGCAGGAGCTTCACCGCACTGTGGCGAGGCTGCAGGGTGACGGTTCACTGGCACCCCCTGTGAGGAGCAGGCTCGGTAACGCTCACCTCTGTGAGTGCGCACAGGCCCTAACCCATGCTCCCACTCTGAGAGCCGCTCTTGTAGATAATGGTGGTATGTGTATAAAATCAATGTCTACAAGGTTACGCATTAGGGCACAGTTGGGAACAACCAAAGATTTCAAACAACTCCAATTTCATTAGTAGATATTTTACAAGTAAATTATAGCACATCCTTGCAATGGAATACTGTACTATACTATAAAAAGAAAACTAAATAAAAATAAATAGTTAGGAACTAACATGAAAAGATCCCCAAAATATAAATGGGGGAAAAAACCCATAATGCAGAACCCTGTGTAGAACATGCAAAGTTTTATGCAAAGAGAGAGAGAGAGAGAGAAAGAGAGAGAGAGAGAGAATATGACTTCTCATGTTGGAAGCTGCAAAAGGAAATGGCAGACACACTGAGAACAGCAGTTCCCTTCTATTCAGAGAGGGCACTGAATAGAAGAGGACAGGATGGAGTCGGTCTTTTCTCCATGTCTTTTTTAACTTCCTGGTTTGTGAATCACATAAGTGACAAGGAAGGGAAAAGGAGAGAAGGATAGGAAGGAAGAAATTCAGACATGGTCAGCTCTCCCTAGCCTGCAGGGAGAGGGAGACACGGGGAATGAGCAATCCTAAATCCCAGTTAAAGCAAAACTCAGACAGCCATCCATCACCTGGGGGAGTGGACTCTGCAGGTGAGCTGTGGTTCAGACAGCCGTCCATCACCTGGGGGAAGGACTCCCTGCAGGTGAGCTGTGGTTCAGACAGCCATCCATCACCTGGGGGAGTGGACTCTGAAGGTGAGCTGTGATTCAGGGAGCTGTCCATCACCTGGGGGATGGACTCCCTGCAGGTGAGCTGTGGCTCAGGGAGCTGTCCATCACCTGGGGGAGTGGACTCCCTGCAGGTGAGCTGTGGTTCAGACAGCAGCCCATCACCTGGGGGAGTGGACTCTGCAGGTGAGCTATGGTTCAGGGAGCCGCAGGCACTTACGCCCAGCTTCGGTGCCCTCACTGGGTGAGGTAATGGCTCTGTAGTGATGGGGGCACAAATCTGGGACTGATGGGCACGGGCAGAAGGTAGAATGCTCCAGGCAGCCACTTCTGCCCCCCCCCCCTCGGTCCTGACAATCATGGGCAGTCCCCTAAGTGCCTTCGCCAAGTCCCTCCCCTGACGCCAGCATGTGTGAGCCTCCTGCATCCCACCACGCTCACCTGCAAAGCTGCTACCAGAACCCAGGATGCACCAGCACTGCCTGTGGTTACAGAAGCAGCCAGCCGAGTTCCAGGCCACTGGGCAACATTTTACTCCATCTGAGGTCTTACAGCACCTGTTCTTAACCTGAGATCTGTGGACCCTTAAGAGCTTGAAATTACATGCAAACTGTTGGGACTATTTATACATGCACATTTTGGAGTGAAGGGGTACACAGCTTCCTTTAGATTCTCAAAGGATTACGAGTCCCCAAAAAAGTTAAGACTCCCAGAACTCCAGAGTTACTAGAAATCTCCAACCCCCACCCCTTTTCCCCTCCTGCCCCATTCCACAGACTGGGACACTGAGGCCCACAGGGGGGAAATGACCCCAAATTTCACAGCAAGTTGGAGGCAGAACCAGGACTGGACCCCCAGTGCCCCATGCCCCCATCCAAGGCCCTGTCCCTGCCAGCACCCCCCTTGCCAAGACCCCATCCCCACCAGACCCACCTGACAGGCACTGCGAGGGGCAGCAGCGGCTCCGGGCCCGGAAAGTGGTGGTAGAGTCTGGCCTCCTGCTCATGGCTCTGGCCAAGCTCTTGGAACATGAAGCTGAGGCCAGCGACGGTGCCCTTCTGGATGGCACGGAGCGAAAGCCGCCGGTACTCGTCCCGGGCGCGCTGGGCTCGGCGCCTTCTCTCCTCGTCAGCGGCCTTGGACCGACGCACTGGAAAGGGAGACAGAGCAGTTGTCCTAGAGCCGCAGCCCAGGCCACACACTGAGCAGCCAGGACCCACGGGATTCCCCACGCAGCTGCATGGAAGCCCAGAGCCAGAGCCGGGAATGGCAGGCCACCAGCCCTAACCAGCAGCCCTGAACTAGCCTGTCCCTGGGGGTAAGGACATTCATGACAGTTCAGTTCAGAGGCCTCAGGCTGTTCCTGGGCCCTGTTCCAGAATGAGCAGGAAGCCTCGGGGTGGAAATTTACATCTCCATATGCACCTCCTCCTGCAGTGCCCTGCTCAGAGCAGCTTCACTCCCGCCGCCCACCCACCCAGCTTCAAGGGCACCTGGCAAAGCGGCCGGCACCTGCAAACACCACTGTGATCACCCACTCTGACTGCGGGGTTCTCCGTGCCAGCCCTGGCTGCATGCCTCCTCTGCACTAGCTCATGGCAGACACGTCCCGGCACCCAGGGGTAGGTCGGTGGGAGTTTCCCAGAGAGAAGAGGGTGAAGCCATCCCTGAGAGGAAACCTAGGCTTCGGAGCCCAGTGGGCGTGCCTGTAAGTGCCTGATCCTGAGACACTGTCACGTCTGCCATTCGTGTGCTGAGAGGCTCAGACAGGGCCCAGGGCCGTCATGGGCTCTGCAGTCACCACGCTGCAAACTGAACACAGACACGTGTGTCCTCCAAGGGCCCGTAACCTCGGAGAGTTTACAGCCCCCGAGAGATAGCAGCACTCAGACAGACAGACAGACAGACAGGGTGCAGAGGGAAGTCTACGCAGACTAGGAACTCAGCTAGGGCAGGCCCTGAGTCATTGGTCACACAGAGACTACACCCAGCCTCCCCCCGCCCAGCGCTAATCCCACCGCTTCTTCCTCTAAAGCCTTCAGTGGCTCCCACTGTACAGGATACAGGGCAAACCCCGTGGTCCTTCAGAGGTGTCCCACGCACCCACTTTCTTCCCCAGCCCACCAGGTCTTTGAGCTCCTCCCATACTCCGTGCTCTGGTCCCACCAAGCTCCCACGCCCCGCTTCTGCAAAGTCTCCTCTGTTCTGCATGGGCAGCCGGGGCAGCTCAGAGATGCCAGCAGCAGCCCTGAGGGCACTGAGATGCTGCAGCAGGAAGCAGGACTCTGCCTTGGCTTTGGCAAAGCCAACCCTGCCACCAGCCCAGAGTACGGCAAAGGGTTCATAGAGTCAGACAGCTTTCCTCCTCTTCTCCTTCTCCTTCTCCTTCTCCTTCTCCTTCTCCTTCTCCTTCTCCTTCTCCTTCTCCTTCTCCTTCTCCTTCTCCTTCTCCTTCTCCTTCTCCTTCTCCTTCTCCTTCTCCTTCTCCTCCTCCTTCTCCTCCTCCTCCTCCTCCTCCTCCTCCTCCTCCTCCTCCTCCTCCTCCTCCTTCTTCTTCTTCTCTCTCTCTCTCTCTCTCTCTCTCTCTCTCTCTCTCTCTCTCTCTCTCTCTATACATTCCCCCCTTTTTGAGATATGATTGACATATAACATTGTGTCAGTTTAAGGTGTACATGTGTTGGTTAGATACATTTACATAATTTAATGATTGCCACCGTAGCATTAGCTAACACCTCCATCACATCCCATGATTATCATTTCATTTTTGTGATGAGAACATTTCAGATCCAGCCTCTTAGCAACTTTCCAGTATAGAATACAGTATTGTTCACTATAATTCTATGCTGTGCACTGGATCTCCAAAACGTAGCCATCTTTTTTAAAAAATATTTTTATAGATTTCAGAGAAGAAGGGAGAGGGAGAGAAAAATAGAAACGTCAATGATGAGAATCACTGATTGGCTGCCTCCTGCACGGCCCCCACTAGGGATCAAGCTGGCAACCCAGGCATGTGCCCCTGACCGGAATCGAACCGTGACCTCCTGGAACTATGGCTTCTTGGTTTGTAGCTGGATGCTCAACCGCTAAGCCACACCGGCCAGGCAAAAACTTACCCATCTTTTAACTGCAAGTTTGCATCTTCTGACCAACGTCTCCCCAGTTCCACCACCATCACCTCCAGCCTCTGGGAACCACTATTCTACTCTCTGTTGCTATGAGTTAGGTTTTTTTATACTCCTCATATCCATGAGAACATACAGTATTTGTCTTCCTCTGTCTGATTTATCTTACTCAAGGTCCAACCATATTGTTACAAATGGCAAGATTTCCTTCTTTCTCATGGATGAATAATATTACATTGTGTGTGTGTGTGTGTGTGTGTGTGTGTGTGTGTGTGTGTGTGTGTTCCACATCTTCTCTCTCTATTCATCCACTGTTGGATACTGGGGTTGTTTTCCTATCTTGGCTATTGTGAATAATGTTCAATGAGCATGTGGGTGCAGATATCTTTTAAATATCCTGTTTTCGTTTCCTTTGGTTATATACCCAGAACATTGCTGGACCATATAGTAGTTTTAACTTTTTTTTGAAGAACCTCCATACTGTTTGCTATAGTGGTTGAACCAATTCGCATTCCCCCCAGCAGTGCACAAGGGTTTCCTTTCCTCCTCATCCTCACCAACATTCCACAGCTTCCCTAAGAGTGTCTCCGGGCCTCAGGTTGCCCCTCTGTCAAATGAGAATGACATGGATGTCTGCCTCATTGAGTTGTTATAAAGACTAAATGAAACTCACAGAAACACTACGAAAGGCTTCGGAAAAGCAACCTCTTATTAAATCAGGCACCTGAGCCCAAGTCTCCCAAGGTGTGGGGCCAGCTGCCCGGGTGCAGATCCCATCACCATTTACCAGCTGCGTGACACTGAACGAGTCACTTAATCACCCTGGGCCTCCATTTCCTCATAAGGAAAATGGAGATGATAACAGTCACTATTTCATAAGTTGTTATGAGGGTAAGGAGAGCTAATAACATAAGCCACTTTGAATCAGTAAGCACCATGGTAAGTTAACTAAAATTTTTATTTTCATTAGCCCTGGCATTGCGAAGTCCACAACAAAGCCATGAACAGTCTTGGCCCGTCCAGGAGGGGGCACCCTTGCCCGTCCATCAGGTGGAATCTGTCCTGTGACCATTTGTAACTAGCTTCCCTTAAATTACACTCAAAACCTTAAAAGGTTGCTTTTAGTTCCTGCTCAGGATCAGGGAAGGATTTGGCCTGTATCCCATGAATCTGCTGTGAGAAGCCAGAATGCATGGAGTGCTTTTCATCTAACCCAGCGACAACAGCAAACTAGCAGTAGAAGACACCCTGGGAGCAGCCACGGCAGCGTCTGCCCTGAGCCAGCAAGGATTGGGTTGTCCTCCTGCCCCGAGGACCCGCTGTGTCTGTGAGGGCTCACACCAAGCCATCTGCCTCCTCCCACAGCCCTCACCCGGCCCGAGGGCTCCCACAGGCCTGTCCCGCAGGCGAGAAGGAGAGGTCCCTTCCAGCTCTGCCCTCCTGTCAGAGATGCACCCACGCCTGTCTGGCCTGAGGGCACGTCCTCAGAACTGGGACCTGGCTCTCCAGGATTGCCAGTTGGACCCTCCTGCTCAGTAAGAAAACCCAAATCTCACAGTGTTTGGGGTCACCCTCACCCATATCAGACCTGGGAATTTCAGCCGCCTCTGGCTGGGGAGGAGGGCGGAGGAGGGCGGAGGAAGGCGGGGGCTGGGGAGGGGAGCATTGTGCCTGGCGTGGCTCCTAACTGTCTAGCCTAGGACAAGTGTGCACGCCGCTGGGTCTCGGCACCCTTCATCCAAGGGCTGTCCTCATCTGCCCGGCGGTCCCGGACTCATGTCCTCATCTGCCCACAGCTCCTGCTCGGTTCCCCAACACGGAGGAGACGACGGAGTGGGTTTCCTCTCGCCAGCGTCTCTGTGAGCAGTTACAGAGCTCAGAGACACAACCAGGCTCGTCATTGCGAGAGGCAGGGTGTCCCACGCTGTTAATGACACATTCGGGCAGGGCGTGCACATTTACCCAGCCCAGTGTACTGAGTGGCTACTTTGTGGCATCAAGTTTAGGAGCAGTTTGCATGGGTTGTGTCGAAGGAGAAGGGCACGATCGCCCATCCTGTCAGTGGGTAGAAAAAGCCCTTCTCCTGTGGAATCCTTCAGCTTTCCCTCCAGCCCTGAATTCTGCTCTGCCCCCACCCATCTCCAGACCACACGGCATCTCCACAGTCCCCTGTCTCAGCAAATGGCATGTTAGAATCACTGACTTTTAACCCAGATTCCACAGCACACTCCTTTCTCGGAGGGAAAAGAGTGGAGCCCATATCACTGGCCTCTGTGCTGGGCCTGGGCACGTGTCCTCACTCAGCTCTGACGATGCCAGTGGGGGTGAGGCGACTGGAGTGCAGCTGTGGGTGAGGAGCCACAGCCAGAACCACACAGTTCAAGGAGGAAGGGAAGGGGTTAACAATACAGTGCGTGGTTCCGTGGTTGAGCATTGACCTATGAACCCGGAGGTCATGGTTTGATTCCAGGTTGCAGGCTCAGTCCCCAGTGGGGAAGGTACAGGAGGCAGCTGATCAATGATTCTCATCACTGATGTTTCTATCTCTCTCTCCCTCTCCCTTCTTCCCTAAAATCAATAAAAATATATTTTTTTAAAAGCACACAATAGCCGAAACCGGTTTGGCTCAGTGGATAGAGCGTCGGCCTGCGGACTGAAAGGTCCCAGGTTCGATTCCGGTCAAGGGCATGTACCTGGGTTGCGGGCACATCCCCAGTGGGAGATGTGCAGGAGGCAGCTGATCGATGTTTCTCTCTCATCGATGTTTCTAACTCTCTATCTCTCTCCCTTCCTCTCTGTAAAAAATCAATAAAATATATTTAAAAAAAAAAAAAAAGCACACAATAATACAGTGCCGATTTTTGTAAATAATATCACTAACCAAGTCATCCTGGCTCATCTCTAAGTCTCTGAGCAACTAGACGTTACTGAACTCCCCACTCCAATAAGTTCACAGTTGAGAAATAATTAAATGAATTTCTGCTTCTCAGAAGCCAGAGTCTGCTCTGCTGTCTGAACTGAATAACTAAGTCTGTATTCAAGTGATACGAAAGGGAACAATGCCCTTTTTTTTCTAACTTGAAGAATTTAATTTAGGTTTTTTTATCAAAAACTGCTGCTCCCAGTAGATTAATGGCCTACTATAGCTCTCATATTAAATTAATTGAGTGCAGAATGGCTTTGCTGAATTTGAATGGCAGGCTCCAGAGTTAGCTCACCGTTCTTTAAGAAAGCATAAAATGAGGAATCAAAATCGTGGGACCTGTATTACCATGTCTTCCCTCCGGTTTTTGGAGGTTTTTCCACTTTCTCTTGCCACGCAGCACATTAATTAGCAATCAGGCAGCGCTCGGGCCAGATGATTTCCATTCCCCATCCCAAGGAAACAGCAGCCCCGCCCATAAACTTTCCATCTCGTCGATAGCTACAAAAAGGGAAACACTTCAAGAGAAACAACTTAGAAAGCACCTTGGTTTCTTCCCTCGCATTTCACCCTCTCAACAAGCTCAACTCAAAATGATGACCCCCATTTACCAATGAAGACACTGAGAAACTGAGCAAGAACTTGCCCACAGTCACGCTAGTAACGGGCAGAGCGAGGATCCGACTGCCAGTCCGGATCTCCTTCCCCCACCATCGTAGCCTCATGTGACTCCACTTGTAATTGTCCATTATTTTTTAGTACAACCTCTGCCCTTCTTTCCCTTCTATTCTGAATTTAAATGAATGAATTATTCTTAGCTCTTGACCATCTTATCTTTCCAGCCTCATTTTCATCATTGCACTTCAGGCTGCAGCCACATTAAAACATGTGCCATTTCCTATACACACAATGACCTTGTTTTTGTTTGGTGCTGTTCCCTCTGCTATAATGCCCTTCCCTGCCTTCTTTGCCTCCCCACTTTTCCCAAACCAAATGTCATTTCCTCCACAGGCCTTTCCAAATGCTCACCTTTCTTGATGGAAAAAGATATCCCATGCAAGTGGAAATAAAAAGAAAGCAGGGGTAGCTGAACTTGTATCAGACAAAATAAACATGAAGCCAAAAATGGTGAGGCCCTGGCTGGTTTGGCTCAGTGGATGGAGCATTGGCTTGCGGACTGAGGGTTCTTTGGTTCTATTCCGGTCAAGGGCACATGCCTGGGTTGCAGGCTTGATCCCCCGTGGGGGGGCATGCAACAGGCAGCCAATCAATGATTCTCTCTTATTGTTGATGTTTCTATCTTTCTCTCCCCTCTCCCTTCCTCTCTAAAATCAATAAAAATATATTTTAAGAAAATGGTAACAAGAGGAAAGAAGATCATTATATGATGATAAGGGGGTCAATTCATTAAGAAGATATAACAATCATAAATATATATGCCAATTAAATATATAAAGTAAATATTATCTCAGGATTATTGCACTGCTGATTACGAAGGGAGAAATAATCAGCAACACAATAATAATAGGTGATGCCAATACCCACTTTTAATAATGAATAGATTGTTCAATCAGAAAAATCAATAAGAAAACATTGGCTATGACTTCACTTAAGACCAAATGAACCAACAGACATGCACAAAATATTTCATTCAACAGTAGCAGAATATGCATTCTTCTCAAACTCACGTGGAACATTCTCCAGGATAGGTCATAGGTTAGGTTCCAAAATAAGTCTTAAAATTTTTAAAAAGATTGGAATCATATCAAATATATTTTCTGACCACAATAGTGTGAACCTAAAAATCAGGAATAGGAAGAATACTGAATAATTCAAAAATATGTGGAAATTAAACAACACACTTCTGAACAAGAAATGGTCAAAGAAGTCAAAAAGGAAATAAAAAAATCTTGAAATTAATGAAAATGGAAACATAATATATCAAAACATGGAATGCAGAAAAAGTTATTCTAAGAAGAAAAGATCTCTATCAACCTAACTTGGCACCTTAAAGAACTAGAAGAAGAACAAACTGAGTTCAAAGTTATCGGAAGGAAGAAAAGAATAAAATCAGAGCAGAAATGAGCTATACACTCGAAAAACAATAGAAAAGATCAATAAAACTAAGAACTGGTTTTTTGAAAAGATGAATCAAAATGAAAAGCTTTCAGTCAGACTAAGGGGGAAAAAAGAGACAACAAATAAATAAAATCAGAAATGAAAGAGGAAACAACTGATACCATAAAAATATTAAGGATCATAAGAAACAACTATGAATATTCACCATCAAATTAGAAAACCTAGAAGAAATGGATAAATTTCTAGACAGATACAACCTATCAAGACTGAATCGTTAAGAAATAAAAGATCTGAACAGGATAATTACTAGTAAGAAAGTTGAATCGGTAATCAAAAATCTCCCAAGAAAGAAAAGTCAGGACCATATTGCTTTACTGATCATTTCTACTGCACATATAAATGTGCTTCTCAAACTCTTCCAAATTCATTTTAGGAGGCCAGTATTATTCTCATATCAAAGCCAAATAGAGACAATACAAGAAAAAAAATTGCAAGTCGATATAACATGGTGGACCCTGAACATTTGCTAAATGAAAGAAATCAGACACAAAAGACCACGTAATATATGATTCTATTTATATGAAACTAGAGGCCTGGTGCATGAATTTGTGCACCAGTGGTGTCCCTCAGCCTGGCCTGCAGGATCGGGTAGAAACTGGCTCTCCAACATCCCCCAAGGGGTCCCAGATTTTGAGAGGGCACAGACACCCACTGGTGCACGATTGGGACCAGGGAGGGATGCGGGAGGTTGGCCAGTTGGGGAGGGACCACGGGAGGGCTCCAGGGCATGTCCGGCCCATCTCTCTCAGTCCCAATCGGTCAGACCTCAGCAGCAAGCTAACATACCAGTCGGAACATCTACCCCCTAGTGGTCAGTGCACATTATAGTGACTGGTCAACTGTCTACCCCATGGTGGTTAGTGCACGTGATAGTGAGCAGTTAAGCAGCCTTAGCATGTCATTAGCATATTATGCTTTAATTGGTTGAATGGATGACTGGACGACCAGATACTTAGCATATTAGGCTTTTATTATATAGGCTATCCAAAATAGACAAACCCAGAGGGACAGAAATTAGATTCGTGGTAGATGTGTGGTTTCCCTGGGTGTGGCAGGAGGAGTAACCAGTGGGTACAGAGCATCTTTTTGTGGCAATGAGAATGCTCTGGAATTAGATAACAGTGATGGTTGCACAACTGTGTAAGTAGACTGTGACCCACTGAATTGTACACTTTAAAGGGATGTTTTTTTAAAGTCTGTGTGATGAATCTGACGTATGGTTAAGAAAGGCTGAGGACCAGAGGCCTAGGAGCAGACGTCACCTCCCATCTTCGTTCCCCCTTCTGAGGCCGTGGTTCAGTGGTCTCTGAAGTGCACCACTGCAGCCACCTCCCCTCTCATTCCCACACCCAGCCTCAGTCACAACACTCACTTTTAGAAGATTCCCACTGCGCACCTGTGTAACATGCCTTCTATTCTCTGTATTTCTATGTTTGACATCTGGGACCACCCCTCCCAGAGACAGCCAGTTCCTAAGGATTATAAAGGACTGGCTTACAGGTGTGCCTTCCACATGCAAACCAACCCCCACCACTTCCTGTAGCTAGTTCTTACACTCTGGGTCACGATCCATCTGCCCTAATATTACCCCCAGGGCCAGGTATCAGCCACTGGAGACAGCTCCTTATCCCAAAGCCTGCAGAAACTATTTAAACCAGCCAAGCCTAAGCCTGCTTGCCTTTCCTCTCCCTTCCCACGGAATCCACACACAGGCTCTTGCCCACATTTCCCTTCACTCCCTCTGCCTCCTGACCAACCCTTGGCCTTCCCTGTGTGGCCCTGGGTGGCAATCCCTCTGTTTCTAGGAACCGGGAGTAAAAACTTCTCCCTGCAAGACAGTCATTTCCGTGTCTGCAGGTCCCACCAGCCCTGACTGCAGCAAGCCCATGTGCACATCAAACACCACCTCCATCCTGACCCCACCTCCCTGTCCCATCTACCTTCTCAGCACCCAACACTCTCCAAGCTGCATACCCGCCCCAGACAGTTCCCACTGCCTCAGCACACCACATGCCTTTATGCTGTCACACATGCTGGCTACCCCCTCTACAGCGTCCTCTCCGGCCTCTGCCTCAGCTATTCCTACACCACCATCAAGCTTCACTTTACAGTGCTGCACAGGACACTCCCTCAGAGCCCTTAGCCTGCGTGTCTGCCTCCGAGATAACACCCTGATCCCTCATCTCTGGGTCCCCAGGACTGAGCACAGAGCCAGGGAATTATGGGTAATTCAGAAAGTACAGGGTTTTCTGTTTCAGAGCAAGAAATCCTCCTAGGGCATGCAAGCTCCTTGAGGGCCAGCCCTTTTCCTCTCTCCTTAGCAGGACAGGCACCGCGTTGGCCTGGGTAAGACCTCTGGCTGAGTGAGTAACTGGACTGAGGCTGAGCAAATAAACAAGTGGGAGGGGTGGGTGGGGAAGGCAGGCGGGTCTGGCCCCTGAGGACCAAGCTCTACTCACACTGCTCCTCCCACTCGCGCTCCTCCTTCTCGCTGGCCTGGCTCTGCAGTTGGGCCTGCTTCAGCGTCCAGTACAGCTCCCTGGCCCTCTGCTCCTCCTGGCGGCGGATCTGCTCTTCCCCTCGCTTCCGCTCCTCTTCCTCTTTCCTCTAAAATGTCCAGGGGACAGAATAGTGTTAGGTGACAGTGCCACTTCCTGGGGAGGAGAAGGGCGTCTGTGACTGTGCAGCAGGGCCAGCTGAGCCGGGTGGGGTGGGGTGGGGTGGGCCAGCGTGGCCACTCCCGTCTCAGCGTCTGCAACTAGAAAGGGCAATAGTTACCCTCAGCAAGCTGTGGTAAGGTCAGATGGGTTGAAATATGTGGAACAATTTGTAAACGCAAGCTTTCTGCAAAGATAAGAGGATGCTGGGCCGCCCTGGGCCACACTTCCATCTGGTCTTCCTAGAGACACTGAGCAGGACATGGTCATGTCTTCACCCTGTGTCTCCAAGAGAGAGCAGGTGTGGGGCCCCAAATCTCCAATTTCTGTCCCATTTTTAAGCTCCAAAAAGGTCGTGTGTGTGTTTTCCCCCACCTTTGTTTACATCAAAGTAACATAACGTATGTTAGACACGCATCATAAGCCAAACCTTGTTATAAAACACAGCAATTCTCCAAACCACTTCATATCCCAACTGACCCCACCCTGGTCCGTGCCCTCAGGCCGCCGTTTTCAGTTGTTTTCGCTGTTCCTTCATGTGTTTACGTTTGTCTGAATAATGCTGCCAATTCTTGACTTATAGATTCTAGACATTAACTACTGCCTTTCTTTTTTAGTACATGAGTATGTAGCACTCATATTTCCCAAACAGGGACACACTCATACTTTCCCTCCCCTCATCCACACAATATACATCACAATTTGTGGTTAAAGCAGTAAGCAGTGTAAACATGGCTCACTGAAAACCCAAATAGGGTGATATTCCCACCAATTCTAAGAAGTACATTTCCTAACTTTCTAAGTAGATCTCTGAAATCCCAAACTGCTCTCAAATATTTCTCTGTTTAACCGAGTGCTTTTTATTATACCAGATGATACAGCAGGTATCTTTTTCCAAGGAACACCCCCGCCACAGGCACCATCTCACCTTCTTCTCACATCTCAAACGCTTGCTGCCTAAGTCTCCTGTCCATCCCCCCACCAGGACCCACCTCTCAGCCTCCCTGAGGTGGAGCCCTTGCTTTTTGCTCTGTGCTTTCTTTCTTGGCCACTTCCTCACTAGGCAGCAACAGAGCTTACAGAGCTTCCACAAGTAAGGATTTACAAAGGGACACTTTCTGAGTCTTGTCTGAAAACATCTCTATGCTCCCCTCACCTATAACTGCTAACTTGGCTGAGCTCAGAGAATTTGATTAATAATTGCTTCCTGCAGAATTTGGAAGCCTGAACCTTCTTGTCTTCTTCCACCCAGCACTGCCACTGGCATTCTCATTCTTCTGCGTAAGGAGAGGTTTTCCCTTTTATCGCGGATGTCCTGAACTTTCCTCAATGGGGTGCCTTGGCTTGGATTGTCTTTCATTGATTCGGGAGGGCATTTTAGGTGCTTTCACCTGCAGTCTCAGGTCCTCCCAGTCTAACACATCTTGGCTTAGGGTTTCTTGGACAATTTCTTCTCTCATTTCTCTCTTTGCTTTCTACATCTCCTATTCGTCAAAAACTGGTCTTCTTGAGTTGATCCTCTAAGTGCCTTATCATTTCTCTCTTATTTTCCATCTCTTGTCTTTTTTGGTTCTGTTCCCTGGTTGATTTCACTGACTTTATCTTCCAAACCTTCTACTGAATGTTTTATTTCAGCCACTGCATTTGTAATCCCCAAGGCCTCTTTCTGATTCTTTGGTTGTTCCTTTTTGCTTCGTTGTACCCGTACTTGTTTCCTGAGTGCAATAGCCCATTTCTACGGGTTTTGGAGTATTTCCTTCCCCATATTCTGACTTAGGTCTTTTCCTCTGTATTTTCCTTTGGGGTCTTTTTTAAAGTTTGTTTTATTTGCTGTCATTCATGCGGAAGGGTCTCCTCAGATGTTCCCTGACCCCATTCAAGAGAGAAAGCAAGGATCCGAATGGGAGACTCGGAGTGTGTGGGCAGCGCTTCCGTCAGCGGTAGCTTCACTCTGGGATCCTGGGTGAGGCACCAGCCATCTCACCGAGGAACCCTCCAGCGTAAGAATCTAGGGGTCCTTTCTGAGGTTATTCAGTGCCCGTCCCTCTGTCCTGCTGGGTGGTGTCTGACAACCAGCATTCCAGGAGTCTGTGGTGGAGGCAGGCTGTGAGCCGGACAGCACTCGGACCCAAGCAGGCTGAACCCCTTCATGGGAACACCAGGCTTTGAAGTGCCTTTCATGCAAATTTCCCCCCAAGTCTCACCAGGAGTGGCCAGAAAGAGTCCTCCCAGGATGGGCAGGGGCAGCAGGTAAGGTGTCCCAAGCCCAGATCATGTCCCGCCCAGATCATGTCCCGGCTCTCTGACCCTCTCCTCCATACAAAGTGCTCTCTGACCCTCTCCTCCATACAAAGGGTTAACCAAATGCCCCAAGGAGCTAGAATTCATATTTGTGGAGTCATCTAGGGGCCCAGAGCTCAGGCCATGGTTCCAGAATGGTGGCCTAGCAAGTAAATGAATCCTACTGGCCAGCACAGCATCTTTGTCACAGGATCATATAAGAGGCTGACTTTGTGTGGCTCAAATTGTTAATTTGTTAAAGAAAAAGACTCCACAAAAAAAATATTTGCTGACCCTGTGAACCCTAAGGGCAACCCTGGCTGCAGGTCCCACTGTTCGGAGCTCAGACTTTGACTTAATCCTCCTGTTCCCACGCTGCCCCTCCCCTGCTCTCTCCACTCAGTCTGACCTGCTGAGCCCCAAACCTTTCCCTTCCAGCTCCCCTCCTCATTCTGGTCAGAGGGAGGATGTAGTCACCTGGAGGGAGCAGTGCGCAGAGAATTAAGACAGGGTGAGTGAGAGAACAGGCAGCCACTGTAGGCTGCATGACCAGACGTCCTCTCAGAAAGGGTGATGAGATCTGAGCCTGACCATCAGGAGGAGGCTGAGAGTGAAGGTCAGGGAGAAGAAACTTCTGGGCCGAGGGAACCGAAGTGCAATGGCCCAGAACTGCCAGTGGGTTTGGCAGGTTTGAGTGTGTAATTATCCTCTGTGGCTGGAGGGGGAAAAGGCAAAATTCTATTTTTGATGAGTTTGCGATGACATGGATGTCCAAGAGGCCTAGCATCAGCAGGGGCTGCTTGAGCCTGGGGCTCAAGGGCAGTTCAGGCGGAAACACTGACTGAGGCGCCCTCTGCGGTGGATGGACTTACTATAGCCAATGAGAGAAAGAGCGCAGATCAAGAGAAACACCCCAGCTGGTTTGGGACATTCTCCATTTAAACTTGAGAGGAAGAGTTGGAATCAGAAAAGCAGCTTGAGAAGGAGGCCAAGGCGTGAGATAGAGATCCAGAAGGGGCGATGTCTGTAGGGGAAGCCAAGAGAAGAAATCATTCCGAGTAAAAGGGAGTAAAGTGAGCTGCAGGCTGCTGAGACATCGAAAAAGATAAGGACGAAGAAGCCACAAGGGACGCAGGGACAGGCCGCAGGGCCATGCGGAGTGTGGGGAGAGCGTCCTAGCAGAGGGGGAGCACAGGCGGCCACAGAGTCAGGGCAGCGGGAGTGACTACAGACAACCTTTGACCTTCCTGTAAAAGGATAGAAACAGGAAGGAGCATCCAGGGGAGATGTTGAAATGGGGTGAGTTGGGATGAGTTGGTTGGTTTTAAGATGGAAAATACTAGAACAGAGAGTTAATGACTAATGCAAAATGGAAACCAGAGTCTGACTCCAATGCAGAACACATGGTTTTACCCCAAAGCTGTATTTTACCTTCGTCAGTCACATGTCTCTATCCAAATTTCCTGTCATAAGAACACCGGCGATAAGGAATTGGGGTCCACTCTAAGGACTTCATGTAATTACCATCCTTTAAAGACCTCATCTTCCAATGCACTTACATTCTGAGGTTCTGACATGTATTTTAGGGGGACACCATTCAGCCCATAAGAATGAGACCGTACCCCAGAGAAAGGTCATGACTGGCATATAATGGACAAGTGGCATTTGACCACTCGCCGCAAATGACAAGCAGTGTTCCCATTCCGACCAGCTGCGGCTAACGTAAAAGCAGCAAGTTAAAGGACAGCACACGTTGCCCCACCCCTAACCCCTGGCAACCACTGTTCTTCTCCCTGCCTCTACAAGTTAAATAGAGTCAACATGCAAGTGAGATCATGCAGTATTTGTCTTTTGTGTGTGGCTTATTTCATTTAGCATTACGTCCTCCAAGTTCATCTGTGTTGTCGCAAATGGCAGAAGTTCCTTCTTTTTTAAGACTACTATTCTATTGTGTGTGTATATATACACCACATTTTCTGTATCCATTCATCAGTCAGCATTTAGGTTATGTTTGGTAAAAGGGTACAAAGGTTCGGTTATGTCAGAGAATAAATTCTGGAAATCTAATGTACAGCATGGTAACTAGTTAATTCTGTACTGTATACTTGAAGTTTGCTAAGGGAGTAAATCATAAGTGTTCCCACCACACACACAGAAAAAAGGTAACTAGGTGAGGTGATGGATTTGTTAATTAGCTTGACTGTGGTCATTTCACAATGTATCCACATATTAAAACATAATGTACATCTTAAATTTTTTAAAAACATTTCTATTTCTATTGATTTCAGAGAGAGAGGGAGAGAGAGATAGAAACACCAATGATGCGAGAGAATCATGGATTGGCTGCCTCCTGCATGCCCCCTACTGGGGATTGAGCCCACAACCCGGGCATGTGCCCTTGACCGGAATAGAACTTGGGACCCTTCAGTCCACAGGCCGATGCAATATCCACTAAGCCAAAACAGCGAGGGCTACACCTTGAATTTTTTAAATTGCTTTCAAAGAGGAAGGGAGAGGGAGAGAGAGTAGAAACAACGATGAGAGAGAATCACTGATCGGTTGCCTCCTGCACACTTCACACTGGGGATTGAGCCCCAACCCGGGCCTGTGCTCTGACCGGGAATTGAACCATGACCTCCTGGTTCATTGGTCGATGCTCAACCACTGAGC